ACCACAAAATATTAAAAACAGACGACATGTGTTTTAATGGTGGAATTAAAAACAATCCACATATACTTTAAATCTCAGGCGGCATCTTTTGTCAAAATCATAGTCGGCATTTTTTGTCCAAATTAAAAGTTTTATAAGATTTGAGAAATGTGAGTTGTATAGAAATCAAAATATGGGGTGTATGAATGTGGAGTGTGAGGGTATCAAGGGGAAATATGTGGGGTGTATTTACATAATTTTTAATTAGAAAAACAAACGTGAGGTGTATTAAGTATGTAAAATTTATTCAACAATTTATGAGGTGTCAATATAACAAGCCAAATTATATACCAAATTCAAAGATTTTTAGACGTGAATCCGACCGTCGGCTAAAACAACATAAGAGTTTTGAGAAAAAGTAGATTAAAAAAAATTGAAGAAGCTTGACCGTTCTATTTTAGCCATTAACTCCGAACAAATAAGTAACAATCTCCTGCATAATTTTATTCTTGCTACTGGCAATTTTTCCATCTGAACCATATAAAGTGTAGTGTTATTTACACTCATTTTTACTTTTTATACATCCTTTCAATTTTTAGCAATCGAATTAAATAAATTAAAGAATATCTATAACAAATAATTAACAAGTATTTGTGAAAAGTAAAAACATGTGTGTGAATAACATTATCTATATAAACTTCCGTACATGATATATAGTCATAATACATAACTAGTACCGCACATTGTACGCTTAAGCATATTGTAGGGTTCTTTCAAGGCCCAACAAGAATAGAGTTTGAATTTAATAAAAGTATATTGGGTCTGTTTAGACCCAGTGAGGGTTGGAAACTTGGAGTTAAAAAGCTCTAATTGTTGAAAATGCTGCTGGGTAGTGAATACCTACAGTGTCTTGGTGGAGTTTTTTAATGCCCTCACAGATTGGTTTTTAACATTGACATTGTTTATGACTACACACACATTGCCAATTCCCATAACAGATTGAAATTGACTTTGGGGATGCAGGAAATCATATTTTCCAAAAGAGTGCTGTAATTTTTTCAATTTGTAATTAATGTATCAATATTGGAGTTGCTCTATAAATAGAGCACTCCGTATACTTTCAAGGTACACAGAGAAAATCATAGAGAAAAACATATAGACTGAAAGAAAGAAAGATAAATAACATCATCTATTCCTCCATCTTTTATTTGTCATCCACTTAAGTTATAATTACGGTGTGGTACTTTACATCTGCCTCGTATCTATCACTAAAAAGGTTATCTCTCTAATTTTTACATATTTATAACACTAATGAGTTTATTTTATTTTGAGTCGGACTTCAATGTTACACTGTTGTGAGTTTTATGCAAGATTTAACAAGCAAATTGTTATTGGTCCAAAAATTTCATTTTGCATTCAAAATTTTCAATAATTAGAAATAAAGAAACACTTGTGGGGAGTGTATGTGGTAGCAAAATGTGTCATCCGTTCAACAAATGAGGAAAGTATATTTTCAAGATATTAATTAGGAGAATATATCTTGGAATAATAGTGGAAGTATTCCTAATTGATTATGAGAGGGATTCTTTACTTGTTGATCTTTAATGGGAAATGTATTAAAGATAGAATTTAGTAATTAACCATATTTTTAATATGAGTATAACTCAAATCCGATAATTGAAATTGGCTAAAATACTTATATGTATTTAATATAATCATTATCTGACCGGTCAAATAATTTATGTGAATATATATGTTTAATACTTCACACATCTAATGTGACATCCCACATCGCCCAGGGGAGTGATCCTTAAATGTATATTCCCATCCATACCTAGCACGAGGCCTTTTGGGAGCTCACTGGCTTCGGGTTCCATGGGAACTCCGAAGTTAAGCCAGTAGCGCGTGAGAGCATTCCCAGGATGGGTGACCCATCGGAAAGTTCTCGTGTGAGTTCCCAAAAACAAAACCGTGAGGGCGTGGTCGGGGCCCAAAGCGAACAATATCGTGCTACGGTGGTGGAGCGGGCTCGGGAAGTGGTCTCCCCCTGGCCGGGATGTGACATCTGACCAAATTTGACTACTAAACTAAGGATAATGTTAGGGAAACCAAATTTTGTTAAGAGGCATTTTGATATAGATGCCTCAAATTTGATTTTTTTTAATCAAACATCTATAACTTTTAAACTTTTGATCAAACATTCTTCTACTAATTTTTAATTAAAAATTATGATTTTTATTGTATTTAATTAACCAACTAGTTTAGAAAATAATATCACAAATATTCTAAAATCAACACAAACATCCTATCTTATCTTATCATAATTCGTTCAAAATGAATTTGTCTTATTCAAATAATTTGCTGTTTTAAATTCTAAAAACACATAAACATCCTATTAACATGCAATTATGAAATATAACATGCACATATATTAAATATAATGTACCAAAAAGATATATTAAATATAACGGACCAATCATTTGGTACGTTATTGATACGTTATATAAATTTAATCTAGTTACATATTAGTATTTTGGTACGTTATGCAATTCTTTATTTAGTATGTACCAGATTATTAGTATGTTGTATTATCCTTATTTTGGTATATACAAACTTATGGTACGTTATGTGTACGTTGTGTAACCCAGAAAAAAGATAACTTTTCACATTAAAACATTGCACTAAAAAATATTTTGTCAACTCTTAATAATTAATTATTGCAATAGGACTTATTTTAAATAAAAATAAAAATGTGAAAACTCTTAGTTCACGTTTCTACTATAAGTAGTTGTTAAAAATTTCAAATTTATTTTCAGTTGCATGAAATTAGGCAATATAGTCTACATCTCAAATTTAATTATAAACGAACTCGTGTTTTCTTATAATCTATATAAAATGTTGAGTTGGAAATTGGAAAACTATATTTCATCCAATTAATCTTGAACCCCAGTAGATATAATTGAATCCTTAAATTGAGGTAGGGATGAGATTCCATAAAAATAGTAATAAATTAGTGAATATTATTGAGTGCATTTGTTTTTTTTTTTTTTTACATAGAAATGGATTTAAAAGATTTTATAAAATACTTAAATTAAGAATATATCTTTAATATAAAATTTAATTAAAAGGAAAAGCATTTTAATTAAAAGTTAAAAAATAACAAATGTTTAATTTAAAAAAAATATAAAATAAGACATCTAATTCTAATCTATCCTTTTATTAATTAAATAACATAAAATTTGATGATTAAATTATTATTTAAATATTAATTAGCGTAATTATTTTTTATTGATAATACTAGGGCTGGGCACGGGCCGGGCCGGGCCCAATTTTGAAGGGACCGGACCGGACCTAGGTTCAAAGGGAACGGGGCGGGCCGGGCCGGGGATTACATTTTTTAATATAAGAACCGGACATTACCCGGCCCGGTTGAAACGGGCCGGTTCGGGCCGGGTCCACGGGTCCCTTTTTTTTTTTTTTTTTTTTTTTGGTTGTTTGAAAGAAAAAAAAAATTGTACAGATTCACAGATTGCAAACTGCACAGATTGCAATCTGCAGAAAAAACTGCACAGATTGCAAACTGCACAGTCCATAATCATATAATCAATTAGAGCCATAAACAACTTCCTACACTGATATACATAATCGTGTTATGAAGTAAAGAATCTATTAAATAAGTAGGTTCTTTTCAGGCCACATTTCAGCCTCGAATGGCAGGCAACAATACTAGAAACTAGGTTTGAAATCAGTTATGAGAGTCATAATTGGTTTTAACATTTGTTTACATGTATGTTCTGAAGTCAATTTATTAGTTACCAACACTTCTTGAAGCAGCCAATACTTCCTGGAACGAAATTAAATTGATTAGTTACCAACAAATAAATATATTCCCTGGGAGCACTGGCTAAACTTCAACTAAATCAAGAACTAAGTATTTTGCATTGGCATACTTCATGACCTTTAACCAAGACACAAGTGATTACTGTACATGAGGTTCGCATCTAAATCATAATACTTCATCAGAAAGGTATTATCCTCATTTTCTTTTACAACAATTGCAGGGAACCAAGCATCAACTAAATTTTCCAGAAAATTAACCCATAACACATATTTGCAATTCTTACCTACGCGGTGTACTTGGAATTGTTCTCGACAACCTTCCCTACGACCCCAGTCCACCACCCATCTCTGTAATCCGCATCCACCACATCTCCCTCCTCAAAATTCCGGTCAGCGAGCTGCGGCAGCGTGGGCCTCAGGTGCTCCAAATCGACGTACTCCTTGAGCTGCTTAGCCCCAAAAACCCTAAATTCCCAAATAAAAAACCCACGTAATTCCTAAATCAATTGAAAAGCTTATGCAAAAATCCTAAATTCCTAAATCAGAAACCCTAATCCATAAATTACCTAGGAATTTGCAGGATGATGGTAGTGTTCTCGACGGCGAGGTTGGTGTGGACCGTGTCGTGGTGGTCGGAACTCGCGATTGGGAGGATTGAAGGAGAGTTAGACTCAGGAGACGATCCTGCGATGGTGATGTCGACAGTCACTGACTCACTATGAGTCTCAGGGAGTCGAGTCAGTACTCAGTAGGGGTCTGAGACGAGAGAGGAGAGGAGATTTGGGGAGTGAGGTCTGACTCTGAGACGATCGAGCGAGGTCTGAGACGAGAGAGGAGAGGAGATTTGGGGAGTGGGGTGTCGAGTCGAGTCAGTCGATTGTGGGTGTGGGAGTCTGGCAGGCAGAGACAGAGTGATTAGATTAAATCAACGGATTTTTGGAAGGTGGAAACGGTTCGGGTCGGGGACCCGTTTCCTCAGCAATTAGGACCCGTCCCGCCCCGCAAATGACATGGACCCGCCCCGCCCCGCCCCGTTTCAGAATTTTAAAAACAGGACCCGCCCCGTACCCGCCCCGAATCGCTTGGACCCGGCCCTAACCGCGGGTCCAGGCCCCGTTTGCCCAGCCCTAGATAATACACCATTTCAATATAACTACAAATTTAGCCTGCGGCCGTAGGACCGCAACTCAAAAAGTCGAGATCGAGAGACAGCATAGTTGGATGGAAGTGGGAAGCGGGAAGCCGAAGAAATCGTCAGACCCCACAACAGCAGAAAGTCAAAACATCGTGAAGGAATCAACGATCGATCCTTTGCTCGTTCTTCCTCTCAATTTTGCGTTTTGCAGATTGCCCAAATCATTGATTTCTCAGAGTTTCACACAAAAATAGAAACTTGGGGAAATCCAGAATTCAGCTGATTGAACAGAGAAAGTCCCTTCCTCAAGCTTTTGACTTTGATTGCTTTCTGCCATTTCCCAAATCCCAGTTTCCGATCCCAACAACAGAAACTGTAAGATCTTAGTTTCTACATTGCAGGTTAGTTTTTTAATTTCTACGTTGCAGGTTAGTTTTTTAATTTCTTAGTTTCCCTTCCACTTGCTTTAATTTAATATTGTTCCATTGTTTTGGGATTATTTGGATCCATAATCTATGTATTATTTGGTGAATTGGGAACTCATCTCTTGACCCCTATTACAAAGTGATCATTTGTTTTCCTTAAAAAAAAAAAAAAAAAAGAATGAAAATAAGAACGTTAGAGTTAGATTAGAGCTTCAGAAACTTGTTTTAGATTATTTTCTGCAATTATAATTCAGTATTTTTTCCAATACAAGCTACAGTGGGGGAGGGGAGAATTGAACTCGGGTCCTCGGGTGCAACGCTATGAACTAACCGACCTACAAGCTCCTTGCATAATTCTTTATGTAAGGGATTTAAAAAATTTAATAGGCTGGAGTGGGTAGAGTTTCTGTGTTCCCAAATACGGGGATGCTCAAAGAAGTAAATTGAAAAACTTTATGGAATAGGAACATTGAAGTGCCTTACTACTTTATGCAACCAATGTTAACACAATTTCTTGATGTTATGCTTCAACATCACCAGCTTGTCTCATGTTTCCTTGTAGTCAAGTTAGTATCTTTTGTCTTCAGAATGAGAAATTTACATTCAACTCAGACGCCAAAGGTGGCGTTATCCCAAATCTACTCCATGTGTTTTAACATTCCCACATGTCATCGCGTAGTTGGTTTAGGATGATTACACCTTGGTGTCCGGGTTGAATGCAAGTTCTCCCTCAAAGTTGTTTTTTCCATGTGAACATTTTCCACGCTGTCTCATTAGATGTCATGGTTTTAGAATATGAATAGTTGCTACAACTGTTTATGGCTCATCAATAGCTAACTTGGAAGATGTAAATTTCTGGTAGTTGTTCGTTAAAAACTATCGTTTCTGATATGATCATATGGCACTAAGAATTCTGCATGTTATTCTAGTCGGTGAAATAGTTTTGTTGTCTCAAACCTATAGATGGGAGATGGAGGCCAGGAATACACTGTCGATGAGGCTCTTGTGGCCATGGGGTTTGGAAAATTCCAAATTCTTGTGCTTGCTTATGCCGGCATGGGTTGGGTCTCAGAAGCCATGGAGATGATGTTACTTTCTTTTGTTGGACCAGCAGTTCAGTCTGCTTGGGGTCTTTCTTCTAAACAAGAAAGTTTTATAACTAGTGTGGTTTTTGCTGGAATGCTAGTCGGAGCATACTCATGGGGCATCGTTTCTGATAAACATGGACGTAGGTGGGCCTTTTTTTGTTTCTTTATTTCTCTTCTCTTTGATTAATTCAAACAGTCTAAATCGTTTTTGGAATCCTGTCTAATATCTTGGGACTAAAGAGGTGCCTACTAATATTATATCTTTATCATCAATATATTTGATTTAATTCGCGCGCTTCTCTTATGTAACAAATTGATGATTTTAATTCTCCTTAGTTGATCTTATTTATCAATAGTCTCCGGTGTTATGCAAATTTATAAGATGATGCTATGCGAATATATATATGAACAATAAAGTAAACACGCCACACACAAACACAATGAATTTAGCAAGGTTCGGTGAACTTTGCCTACCCCTTGTGTGATCTCTTGAGAAATCACCCGCATTATGGAGAATAACAACTCGGTTACAAGAACTTGTTGAAACCCCTTATGCTAAACCCCAAAACCTTGTTTTAGATCTCTCTACCACTCTTGGTTCTCTACCCTTGTATTCTCTCTTTTATTCGTGTGAATGATCAGCTCCCAACAAGCCTAATTATAGTACATAAACAGATGGTTACATGCCTTACAAGTATAGGATTCCTAAATCCTTTTAAAGTAGATTTGGTATTATAAAGAAAACCCTATTTCCGAATTCTTATGGGAAATAATCAGTGCACATTCCTTTTCTCCTTTCCCAACACCTATTGAAAACCTAAACCTATTTGGCCTTCGTATTTTGACGGGCCAAATCACAACACCAATGACTGAGATGATTCCATAGAGATGTGCATTTGACTATATAAATTAATTATGGACACAAGGATGACTAAAACTGTTTATGTCTGGATGTTAGTGATTCAAACTTCGGTACGATCTTTTGATTATGGTTTATTCCCCTAAGACTCTTAACGGATTTACATTATTGAGATACCTTGTATTGCACACACATAACCTGCATCATTTAGTAGTGAAAAAAATGCTATTTCTTTGGCACATGATATCCAATTGAGCTATGTACTTGAACCATAACTGTAAATGACATGATCTTCTTCTGCCAGTACTGATCACTCCTCCTCGGGTTTGCTATCTACAGAATCTGCTTGCCATTTCTGCATTTTGTTTTCTGTCTATGCACCTGCACATTTCTGCATTGGATGCAGATTTGGTTCTTTTTGCCTTTGCGATCTTGAATGCACCATTTTCCAAGTTAACAATTCTACTGGTTCTTATTTTGTTGTTAAAACTTCTATTCCTCCAGGAAAGGATTCCTAATTACAGCCACAATTACTTGTGGGCTGGTTTTCTGAGTGCTTTTTCCCCTAATTATGCATCCTTGCTCGTTCTTCGTTGCTTGGTTGGTGTTGGTTTGGGAGGTGGCCCTGTACTCTCATCCTGGTTTCTGGAGTTCATTCCTGCTCCTAACAGAGGCACGTGGATGGTTATTTTTTCAGCATTTTGGACTCTTGGAACAATTCTTGAGGCTTCACTTGCGTGGGTATGTTTAGAGTACTTTATTAGTATTCGTTTGATTTTCCAGTGTTTTTTCTTGATTTGATTCCGTGCCTCTGTTTTTTGGTGTGTATATTTTAATAGTCTTTTATCTTCAGATATTGGAAGTAAAGGAATTTTGGGATCAATAATAACTAGTTTTTAGCAGTTGTGTCAACTGGATACGATGAACACAACAAACATTAGGAGTCACTTCCTTAATAAGCTTACATATCCAACTGCAGATAATTTTAATTCTCTTGTTTTGCGTTTGTAGTGGAATATGTGTGATGAGAATATAAGATTGGTCCATTCATGTATTTATGTTGTGTTCTTTGCAGTTTGTCATGCCAAACTTTGGTTGGAGGTGGCTACTTGCCTTATCTTCACTCCCTTCATCGCTTCTCCTCATATTCTATTGGGTTGCACCTGAATCACCAAGATATTTGTGCTTAAAAGGTCGAACAACTGAGGCAATCAATATTTTGGAGAAAGTAGCAAGAATGAATGGAATGAAACTCCCTTCTGGGAATCTTGTTTCTGATTTGAAAATAGAGTTATCTGAAGAGGTTACTTCATCAGAAGATGCACATTTGATCTCGCCGACAGATGATAAAGATCCAATTCCTGCAGAGATGGATTCCAATATGGGTGGCATCTCTTCACTGTTAACACTTCTTTCCCCAAAATTAGTCCGATCTACTTTGCTCTTATGGGTAGTATTCTTTGGGAATGCTTTTTCATATTACGGCCTGGTGCTTCTGACAACTGAGTTGAACAGTGGACATAGTAAATGTACGCCAGAACAAATACAGTCAGACAAAGCGCCGGATACTAGCTATAGACATGTTTTCATCGCTAGTTTTGCAGGTACATTCATCTATTTATTTCAGTATTTGTCATTTAATAATTTGAAAAAAAATTGTGTTTGTACTGCTAAGAAATTGTGAACTGACATTTAACTTTGTTTGGAATGAAGAGTTTCCTGGGCTCCTCTTATCTGCTGCCATGGTCGACAAACTGGGTCGTAAGCTTTCAATGTCAGCCATGTTCTTCATATGTTGCATTTTTCTACTCCCCTTGGTTGTCCATCAGTCTCAGGGCTTGACCACTAGTCTTCTGTTTGGAGCTCGCATATGCATCACAGCGACCTTCACAATAGTCTACATATACGCCCCGGAGGTAATTTGTTAATGCATTCATCATTTTGAGAGACCACAAACAAGAAAATTGATTTTTAAGCCTACAACTAGTCTGTGCTTTTGTTCAATGCAAAATTGTCCGCGATATTTATGTCTTCGGTGGGTTTCTTTACTATACAATTGAACTCAGATGTCGTTTGACACTCAGCACATGCACGTAACCTCTAATTTCTCCATCACATTCATAAGCGTTAATGCAAGATGAACTCATTGTTTAGCATCTAAGAAATCATTTTGTGAAGAGCATTGTTTGAAGATTCACATTATTATTCTTCTGGTTGTATGAATTTTTGTCCATGAAAATCATTTAGAAATTGTGCGAGGGTTTTGATCTTTATTTCTTTGGTTTGAACTGCAGATATACCCAACCTCAATCCGAACAACTGGCGTTGGAATCGCAAGTTCAATGGGAAGAATTGGCGGAATGATCTGCCCTCTTGTGGCAGTAGGTTTGGTACATGGATGCCATCAAACAGCATCGATTTTGCTGTTTGAGATTGTAATTTTTCTTTCGGGGGTATGCGTGTTGCTCTTTCCGTTTGAAACAATGGGCCGTGAATTGAGCGATAGTATATCGGATTCAATGGATCAAATCAAAACCAGTAAATGAATTTGTATGAACATACCACATATGGTACATTTTTTATACAGTCGATGCGATAAACGCGAGAGACAATTGGGCAAGGATTCTCTTGTTCCTTACCAAATGCAGCTTGTGAAAATTTAGCAGCAGCAGCAGTAACTTTTTCTTTCCTTGAAGCAAACTATGTTCCTAAAGATCTTAAAGTGATTATAGTGCATTTCTAATTTAAAAACTGCAAGGTTGGGCAGAGTATGTCAATTCTTAGTCCAGAAACTTGGAGAGTGACTTCCCTACGCCCTTCGGGATGCCACCATGGCGTTTAGGACACCACCGCGGCATCTCGAGAGTGAATGTAAGTCAACTTGTCATATGAGATTTTGAGATGGCTTAAGTCTGTCTATTGAGGCATTTTCTACCCAACAACTGATATTTGAATCATTTTTGAAATATCACGAAAACCATTTTGGAATCTCCAATTTCTCCCAAGTTGATAGAGAGTTAGCTTTTCAGACTCGAGAAGTTGAAATCACGAGAGATTTTACCCTACAACCAAGGCATGCATCATCATCTCTCTTATTGCACTCAAGAATCTCCTTGAGAGGAGACATTCTCTCATGTCCCCCATTTCACCACACAGCGAGAGTACTTTTTAAACACTTGGCAAGTAATTCTTCGAAAACGACGCTACATGGACTAAACATCGATTTCACAAGAGAATCTCACCAGCAAGAGGACGCCAGGTGTACCCATTTTGTCTTTGGCTCGCATCAATTGATGGATTGGGAGTAATTGAAGGGAAAGAGACCACAGCTCCCTGCTTGTCCGTGGAACATGGTTAAACAGCTTTCTGGGATCTCATGTGTACCAAATCATAAGGGCCACTTGGGAACAACCAACGCATTTGGAAGAATGCCTCACAAGTTTTGTTTTTCCACAGGTTGGGTGACAACACACAGAGATGGAAACAGTCAAGTCGTTCGCCTCAATTTTAAATTATTCGTCTAAATTCAGTGATATTTCTTTTTCAAACACTAGAGCTATCTCAAAGTTTGACTCACAACACATTTTCTCTTATGTTTGAAATCCACCGGAACACTGAAAACTACTTTGTAATGTTATTCATGCATTTCACTTTGAGACGGAGTTTCTATTTTTCATTTTTCCATTTTTCTCTCATGATATTTCTTTTTCCATTTTTTCTAGTTTAGAAGACCTAAATTCATTTTTCTTTTTTCCACTTTGAGACAGAGTTTCTAGTAACCAAATGCTTGACCCGCACGTCCTGCGGCTAGCAGGTACACAAAAGTAATGATCCATTTGCAGATGTCAGACACTCAAAATTTAAAAAATAGTCACAAAAGTAGTGATTGCTAATTTCACAAAAAATCATTATAAAATAATTGAAATGATCGAAATCCAATAACAATATCATAATAATCAAATACCTACGGCATAAAAATCAATTGTCAATATCATAGTGAATCAATATCTAACAAAGAACTATTTTGTACAACTCTTCAAAGAAAATTTGACTGATTTGATTAAAAAATAAATAACAATTGCTCAATTAATCCAAACCAAATACCAACAATATATTGATCAATTATCAAAGACATATCAATAAAAATTCTACTAAATAATGATCAGAAAACGACGTCATGCTAAAAATTCATTTCGATAATTGAGAATTGAAAAATAATAATTTTGATTCATTTCCCAAAACTAAGAATTATTTTTTTTAATTGACCAAACAATCCCCTAAGAATTTCTCTTTGGGGCCACCTGACTGTTCCTTTGGGTTACACCACAATTTTACCATTTCGGTGACTTCCACGTCCACATATTTTTTTTTTCAATTTTACCAAGAAGTACTAAAACAAAAAATAAAAAATAAAAAACAAAAATCACAAATTAAAAAAGAAAAAAGGAAAATCTTGTTTCTCCAGGAAAAATATGGCGTTACGTACGTTATAAAACAAATATAGTATAATTTTTAATAATAATAGTAATAATAATGTTTTTATTTCTTATAACTAGATAGAGAGAGAGAGAGAGTAGAGAGAGGTAATATATGTATATATACACATACATATATGGGTACATACTCTGCCTCCTGCTTAGATTCTCGTGCGTGGTGGTGTTTCTGTGAAAATTGAAGATCTTTACTTGAGATTCATGGCGGCAAACCAACCGCAGGCTCCAGATCGTACTTCCGGTACGTCAATCCACAGCAATCTCAATTCATGAATAATCACCCTTTTTATTCTCTTTGATTAATTCTGACTCTTGAATTTTAATCATTTTATTATTTTTAAAATCTGGGTTTTGTTTGTTGATCATTTCCTCAGATGGGTTTGTTTTCTTGGCTTTGCTTTGTATGTACAGTCAATGAACTGGTGAAATTTTTGGTGTATGTATTGGGGATTTCGGGTTTTAGTGATTTCTGTAGTGGGAACTTTGGCATCTGTGATTGCCTTTCTGTGTGGAACTTTATCCTGATCCGGCTTGGAGGAGTGTGGAAGTGGTGATCTAGTAGATTCTGGGTATTGTCTTTCTGACGGAATTGTTGTAAGATTCGGTTGTTCGTATTCTGTTTTCGTGTTTCGGTTTTGTGTTTGAGGTCATTTTTTGAATGATGTGCTTGTTCGTGTGAATGTGTTGCATCGAGCTCAGTCATAGTTTAGTTCCAATAGTTGATACTCGGATACGGAATCATGGATCAATGTATTCATGCATGTATGCAGTGAAGATACAAGTTTAGTAATCATTTTTGGGCTGTAGGAATTACTTCGGCATTTATTGCTGTCAACAAAAAGTATACTAGAGACCAATAGTGGTTGTGCAATCAAATTAATGTATCGTGTGCATAAACTACTTTCAGACTCGGGTCTTGTGTTTGAAGAAGCCTGTCTTTGATATGGTTCAAAATGTCAACTTTCCCTGAACTAGAATTATATAGGTAATAGAGCATCACACTTCTGTTCGTTGTAGTCTTTATATGTGTATTGCCATGGTCTGGTTTACTCAGGACTGGGGGGGAGGCAGATTGAAACGGAAAGCTGTTGTTCCTAGACTAGTAGGAGGTGGATGAATTGGACAAGTTCAAGATTTTTATAGGATGAAAGAAAATGAGGCCTTTTAGTCCAAGATCTTTTGTTTATTTTTCTTTTTCTTGTGAAATTCGTAAAAAAATTATTTTAGTTCTTTCTTTTTCTTGTTCCATGAATATCATTGTTTATAGTTTGAGCGGTTAGGTTCATATCTATGGCAGCTTTTGTGAAATTGAGACCTTTATCTCTATTATTGTTTTATACTTTTTTATATACTAATGGGTAGCTCAAAATTTCATGTTTTTTTTATTTGAACACATTGATGTAGACATGACTACGAAATATATTCATGTACTTCTATTTATCATGTGTGGGTAGGTGTGCACGTGTGGATATGTGCGCATGCATGGATATGTGCTCACATATTCATAGCTTCAACTTTTCCTATCCCCAAATTTTTCTTTGGTTGGTCAATAATTTGTACTCCCTATGTTTCTAAGACTCTACTAAGTCACTGAGCATACTGATCATGGATGCAGAAGAGAAACCTGCTGAACCAGATAGCATGAAGGAGCAGGTAGTTGTGAGTCCAATACAATGCTCTTCTGATCCATTGCCAGTTCTGTGTAATTTTAAATTTCAATTCTTTTTCTTTACTCCCTCTTGGGCATGACGACTTTCGTTTGTTTATCTGTATCAGCCCCATGTCGCAAAAAATGAGAGGTCAGTTTCTCCTAATCCTTCTCCGGATGCTGCCACTATAGGTCTTCCAAGGGAGGCAGCAGGTCAATCGGGTCCTTTTGGTTCAGGTGGAGATCACACTGTTTTTCCACCTAATGTATATGCCCCTCAGGCCCAGACCTTCTACTATAGAGGTTAGTCTTTTATTCCTCCGGGTCTGGATGTGCAGCCATGGAAATGGGCCATTCACAGCTGGATTGAGTCTGAAAATAAGCTTCACAGTTAGTTGGCCACTTCACTGATTGTTGGCCTTATCAACATTACAGTGATTCACCTCATCAGGAAGGATTTTTTTCCCCTTTTTCGTGTTTAGTAATCCCATAAAAATCTGGTTTACATTGTGAGGTTGGAATATAAATTCCAAAGTTTGTACATTTTTAGCTGACCTAGTATTTTTTTTTTCTTTGGTCAGTACTCAGTACTGCCTTGGAGGCTAGTATTCATAAATGGATCTTTAACTATAATTCTAGAGAGACTGATAGTTTTTGACATATGTCGTGTAAGGAAAATAATTGTAAAACTAGTCCTTTGAAGTTTTTGGTTATGTTTTATGTTGCTCTCACTTATACAACGTAAGTATAGATACAATGTAATTATCTGTGATGTAGGTTATGAAAATGGAACTGGTGAGTGGGACGAATATTCTCCGTACATCAACACTGAAGGATTGGAGATTAATTCTCCTGTGAGTGTATCTTTATGCATTGTCATTCATATACAAACATTTCTTTCTTTTAGGTTAACTAATTGTAATTTTCGTTAATTTTCAATCTTGATTAGGGTGTCTACAATGAGAATCCTTCTTTAGTCTTTCATTCTGGATATGGCTACAATCCACAAATGCCGTACGGTCCTTACTCCCCAGTTACAACACCAATGCCGTCCGTAGGTGGAGATGCACAGTTATATTCTCCCCAGCAATACCCATTTTCGGGACCGCCTTATTATCAGCAGCTTGGTCATCCTAGCATGCAATATATTACCTCACCTACCACAGTGTCACAACCAGAGCTCACCACCTTAGTTAATATCGACCAACAAGGTGACAATATGCTTTTTGGACCAAGGCCTGGTTATCATCCTCCAGTGGGATCTTTTGGTAGAGGCAATTTTCCTGGAAATCCTGGTAGTCAGGGTTTTCATGACTTGCAGCAAGGATTTGATGGATTTAGATCTGGAGGCCTTTGGTCAGACTGGCCGAAACCCTCAGACAGGCACAGGTCTTTGACTCCCTTTTTGCCATCAGTATCTCCACAGCCAATTGGCCCATTGGGCTCATTTGGGCAGAATATTGGAATGGTATGTTCTCATGCCTGTGCATGTCTTCAAACTACGATATTTTGAAATCCCATTGGTTC